TTCTCTCGTACTTATCTAATTTTAATTTCCTCGTAATCACTGATTTGCAAAATCTCAACGAGATTGTCTCGAGGCTAGGCTCTCGAGTTCAACGCCGTGCGCAAAAGTTAGCTTCAGGAAATTTCATTCAACGGCCTCGTCCAGTTGCAAAAATATGTTACGCGTTTCGCATTAAAACTGTCGCAGACGAAAACGAGTTTCTATAAGCGCCAACCAATTCGAGCCGCACATTCTCACGTTGCGAGAAGCTTATAGCCGCCTAGGAAGATGAGGATCGAGAGGAAGAAGAAGGAGAAGAAAGGGTTGAGATGGTGTCGGTGGCTCGCTCGGCACGGGGGAATCATCGTCATCATGGGGTCAGTAGTATGATCGATCGAGGTCCACTGGCAAACAGCTGCTGCGATCAACCGTTTGAGACAATTTTCGAAAATTCCGCGTCTGTTACATTCGTTCTGGGTTTGCTCCGTCTATGAGTCAATTTCACTCTGTTTTCCTCGATACAACTAGTGCAGTTTTGACGACGATTTACGATGGCGAGTGCAAATCTGGTGCGATCAACACAAGAGTTAGCCGTGCAGCGATGTACATCGAGGGCCTAGCTGCGATTTACAAAATGGAAAAAATAGCCATCTGAATGCAGGCAGCGGTGCACTCGGCGCGCGCGAATTCATCCCTGCCCCGCGTGCAGTTTGCCGAGCGCGGCTCGAGGAATGCGCCTCGTGCTATTATAGTACCAGCCCCCCCGAATGTTTCATAGGCCGCAGCCTCGTCGAGAGCCACGAACGTCGAAGATGGGCCGCCTTGGTTGGATTTTGCCCCCTCCCCCCCTCTCCCCTCTTCTTAATTTCTGATAAGCTACCACGACCGTATAGTAACTCGCGTACGTATTTATACAGTACTGCAGCACTGTGTACACGCGACCATGCGTGCCTCGACGTTGTACTACTACTCCGCTGCATGCGAGTCGTGGCTCGCTGCGCCGGGTGTGGCGCGCCGCGTTCCATACGCGGCCATGCGTGCCCCTGTCCCGGGGGTACGTTTGGGACTAGCTCGTAAACGAAGCCTAGCAACGAATCTCCATGTAGATTGAGAGAGAGAGAGAGAAGCTGAGAAAAAAAGGGCTCTATCGATTTTTGGCCTGCTCTTTGGCCTGCTCTCCTGAGCGCAGCGTTGCACCCTTATAAAATTATACGTATGTATATATGCGTCGGCATATCGAAACAACCCCTTTTTCGTCGGACTTTGGCCTTAGTAGGCCTTCTCCTTCTCTATTTTTTCGGCGAGCGCGTGTCCGTATATGCATATGCGCTTTTGTTTGCGCTCCTACCGGCGAGCCCATCTCTCTCTCTCACTCTCTCTCTTTCTCTCTCCCTCGCTCACAGACTCGGGCTTGGACTTGCATATCCTATGATAAGAGTAATGCTCCGACAAAAAGTTTGCCCGGTGCAGAGAGCGATGCACGAACGGGAGTGCGGCTACTGCTGCTGGCGCATTTGGCTGCATTACCGAGACTGCATCTCGTGCGATACCGAACGTTACGTGGTATGTAGCAGCCAACTCTATCGTAATCGACGCGGCCTTTCCTCGACCGAGACTCTTGACCAGCCCAGGTGACTCTCGAATCGGAATCGACTCCGGGAAAGAAAACATCGCAATGGTGTGTGCGTGCGCGCGAGTGCTCGAGCGAGTAAGAGTGAAGTTGGCCGAGGTGCCATCAAAGTGCAATAACGCGTACAAAGTGCATCGACGCGACTGGATCCTCCGCTACTGAACCATAGTCGAGCTCGGTGAACTCTTTGTGCTCCCGCGGAAAGATTCCAAGTTATTAAGTGCCCCTCGCCGTGTGGCAGTTCTCGGCCGCCGAGGATATATGATGCGGCTGACGGCAGGATGTGGCAGGATACGCCAGTGCAGCAGCAGCAACAGCAGCTACGGACTCTTCGTCTCGATCCTCTCGGGGCCTACGTCGGCCGCGCGCACCAACATACCTGCAGCAGGCCTCGGCCTCGCAGAGCCGATTAGCGGCTTCGCGGCTCGTGATATATACCTCCGACTACTCGGCTAATGCTCCTTTTGCCTCTCTCTCTTTCTCTCTTTGCGCGCGAGCCTGCAGTACGCGCACATAACATCCTAGCTCCGAGCGTATATGAGCGCGCCAACTTGATTGCGAGGCTCGCTCATGTGCCCGGATTCCCTCTTGAGTTGCGCGCCAGCCTAACCCGAGCGACGCTCGGCTTCCTGTGCATCTAGTTACCTGCAGCGTGCTACGAGACGAGAGAGCGTCGCGCGCCTCTGCTCGGCTTCTCGGAGCTGCAACAACGACGCCTTTGTCCTGCTCTGCCGATTTTTTGTTTGTTTTTTTAACAAACGACTCGAACAAATTACAACCCGAGTTCTATTAAAATATCGTCAGTCGTTGCAATACGTTGTACATAAATTATTTTCTTCAAACTTTTATTACATATCAAACGAAATTATTTACATGAAGTTCAACGTAAAATTAGAAAATAAAACAAATGCAGATATCTATTGCGTAAAACGAACTCTGTAACCAGGCTTGATTTGAAATACGAGTTTTTTTTATTTCAAATTATAAATACTTTTGCAAAGAAATCTGAGCAATGTCACTAAAATTATAACGACGCACTTTCAACTCAATTATCAGTCAAATATATCACGTTGGAATAATATTACTCTCAAATTATTTTTTTCGCGCTTAAACAGCCGTTTCTATACCGAAAATCAATTTTAAACGATGAGAAATACGACATTTTTATTGTAATTCTTACTCTCTCTGTTCCTCCCTATCGGCTCATTAAATTATAATATAATAGCTTACATTATATGAAAAATACATAAGAAAATACCAAGAGAATTTATGTTTAATTAAATTAACCTTTGTGCTCCGTAGGTAAACTGCAAAGCGGGGAAAACAATGCGTTATTGTTTCTATTTTGTATCAGCTAATTTTGTGTCGAGGCCGAAGGTAGTTCGGGCCTTAGTGGTCCTGTGGTGGCTGTTTTATGAAATGCTACTGGCCTGCTAAGTCCCAAGTTACCTTTGGCGCTATCATCAATAAATTCATGGTCTCAAGGTAAGGCTTTTCCAAGCGCATGTATCTCTTATTTATTTTCGCCACCGGTACATTATGGCCAATTTAAATGCGGCGACGATCGTGCTCGTGATATTCGGTATCTCGCCTCGTGGCTTTGCTACGTGAAAAAGCGCAACTTTCCGCCGAGCTCTGTCCATGTGTGGTTGGACCCACCGAGACAGCATGTGCATAACTTAAACGCTAGAGGCAGCCCCTAATACCGGAACGCCGTAAAGCTAAAATAAAAATTGTTTCGTCCCGATCGTCGAAGCTTCGTTTTGCTAATTCTTCAACTCGAAGTACAATAGCTCGAAGAAAAAAGCCGGTATTTATGTGCTCCGGGCAATCTTTTCACAATTTCCCTGCGCCGTGACGGATGTCTTATTCAGCATTGCTGAGCCTGTACATAATACGTCTCGAAATATAGTTTGATTATATTGAACTTACGAAGCTATATCGGTGCGATAATTTTCCAACTCGGCTGACTGATCCAACTAGATGTTTTTTGCCTCTCTTTCTCTGCCTGCCATAGTGCGCAGCTCCCGAGGTAAGAAGACGTTACGGCATATTTATAATCGCTTTACGATATTCGTTCGCAGGATATAGGCGGAGAAATGGTCGTTGAGAAAAATCGCGCCGCCAAGAAGCGAGCAACAACAAAAAAGCAAAGAAAAAAGGAAGAAGCGAACTTTTCAGAAAAATCCGCGCGGCTTTGAATTACGCTTGGAAATCGCGCGCGCGCAAGCGCTTATAGAAATAAAAATGGCATATTGGATAATAAGAAAGGAGCCAGTCACGATCGGTATTGACAAAAAGCCCCGCGAGATCGCGTATACACATTCGTCCTGTACACGTATCCGTCCAATAAATATTAAAGCGTGCCAACGTTTTCGAGTAGTTTTTTGCTCCCTCTTGCTCTCGAGCTACGACGTCAAATGAATCATCATTACTGAGCTTGAATGGCCGTGTAGCCGCTGCTCCTATACATACACACGATACACTTATGTATATGCATACATAAGCAGCAGCACCTTTTACCAAGTAGCTGCGCGCGTAGTCCCGTTTACCTTTATATATTCTGTATCTTTCACGCCGAAGCATAGTCCGGAGGTACACGAGCAACCGTACAGGGGCTCGGCAAAAAGTGTCTGCTCAGCGCTACGAGTCGCAAAAGCCAAGGGCAAAAAATCGCTATTCACAGTACTGAGGACTAGCTCTATACACGCGAACGTCCGTACCCCCGAGTATGCAATGACTCGTTGACACCTATTAACAGTTAAATGACACGTCGCTGAAAAAATTTCACCTCATCATTTTTAGGGCTTTCACGTTATTGCACTCAAGTGGTCAAGCATCTGATCGATTAAACGATAACTGACCCTTTATGATTTTAAGTAGTGGAGACGTTTTCATTCTATTGCCATATCTAAAAGAATCCTTGAGTTCGAGAAAAAATAGAAAATTTTTTGAAATTCTTTGTTTGAGGGGGTCTACCCTATTATTTCTCTTAAAACTTACGAAGCTGTCTAAGATAAAATTATGCAAACAACCCAGAAAACGCGTTTAAAATGTTTCATGTTTATATTGGACTATATATCTAACTTGAAAAAAAAGTAAGGAGCAAACTGTGAAAAATAAAACAAAAGAGGAGAGGCGAAAAACAATTGTTAGGTAAGTAAAAACTGCTTGTGGCTCGGAAGTACTCGTTGTAGCAGAGTTGGGGTTTCTATGCGGCATGTGCCTTGCTTTCAATCGATGCAATGCCCTTGGAAATCCCAAAAATGCACGACGCATTCATCGTCCACGAGGAAATCACCGTTCGGCGTTATGTCAACCATCATACAGCGTAGCAATTTCATACAATATAATAAATATGTAATATAAATTGTGCATTGAAGTGACTCACGGTATCGAAATGCTGGACGAGTAAGCGTCGCGGTCGCGTCGGATCGGTAGCACTGCTTCGCACAGGTGTCGAGGTAGCAGCGGCGGCATCGCCGCCAGTCGCTCGACTCTCCGAACGCAAACTGTCGTTCTCCGAAGCAAATTTTTCCAAAGTCTGACGCGAAACTAGCCGAGGCTCGATCACTGGACTCATGGATGTTGGATCCGCTCGAAACATGTGAAAAATCGGCAATCGATGCGATGAAACTTTACGGAATTCAGCTGACGAAAAAAATCAGAAATACCTAACGGATTTAGCGACGCACGCTTATATCTAAACATTACTCTCTACACTATTCGATCGAATTACAAACACTAAGAGCTATTTCTGCTTTCGACGCGCGAGCAGCTTCACGCGTACAAGCGTCGAGTCGTTTGTTGTCATTATCGGCTCGATTCGCTCACGGGCGGGGATGTTTGTAAACGCGACGATTTAAAGAGCTTCGCATGAAACTCGCTCCAACGATGCTCCAGGTACTGGGGCAACTTGATTTTTGCCCGTCGTCGTGGTAGCGGATCCATTGCAGTCCAACCAAGTGCATAGAGTGTTCAACATTTATTTTTTCAAAGGATCGCTTTATTTCTAATGTTTAATACTTACATTAAAATTAATAAGAAGAAAAGTAACATCCTTTTTTATTAAAAAAAAAAAAAAAAAAAATTACTGTTGAATGGACATCAGTTTCAACATTTATACATCATAATTAGTGTTTCGTCAACATCTTGCTTCACGTATGTCAGCATAAGTGATCATCGCGGTTCTTTTACATTTTAAAAGTACATTTTTTATGATTTAAATGATTGTTTAAATGATTATTTTTTGAGTATTTGGTCGATAAAAAAAACTTTTATTTATTGTATAAAAAATGAATTTTTTATTTGTACTTATTTGTCATATCTGAGTCAAATAGATTACAGAAGGTGTTAAGTTCGAATGAAATAAATCAACTTCTTTGATCACTGAATTATAGATTTAGATGATTTCACTAAATGAAAAAAAATCGATTTCGTCTTGAATCTAAAGAGCTGTGAATGCATTATTAAATTCTACTCCCACGAATGATTTTCGGGGAAGACTCTTTGATTCGCTTCGCTTTTTTATCGCGCGTCAGTCCTCTCGGTCCCTTGGGTTCGGATGCGTTTTCGTCTTCTTTTACCTGCGCACACAAGGAAATCATTGGTTGAAAGATAGAAATTATAAGAGCGATTAGGAAATTCAAAAAATTTATTGCTCTAGTAGAAAAATACATTTGCCTTTGACGGGTGAAAAAATGTATGAATAGGTTACCGGTCGTGTATGATGATGTTGTATTTATATATAAATAATATAATGAAGAAAACATGAGCAAAAATATAGACTTTAGACAAAGTTTCGATATATAAATAGTTGTACTATTTATCAAAACCCTGCGGAAATTACACTTGTTTCCGAGTGCTTTGAAGAAAAATGTATTTACAATTAGATGCGTTTGTAGCACAATGAAGCGCCCGACACATGGTATATTTAATTAAGAGAATATACAATTTTATGGGAAGAAACGGAGACATTTCATTGATTGACGTTTCCCATTAACAACAACATACTCAACGGTCAGTATATTGTAACACGATCAATGTGGAAATTGGCGATTTTCAAAATCAACGAGACAAACCACATTTTTATAGCATATATATAACAAATTGTTCCTCGCACACTATATATTGATTCAAATAGTCGAAATTTCATAAGTACTCGTACAAAAGTAATTCATGATTTTAATAACTTTAATGACAACAATATTCAATGATTATAAAATTAAATAAATATATAACAAATGTAAATGATGATATAAGTTAGTCGAGAGAATTGGCGTGTCTGCAGCGAGGCGGCGGCGCGCGAGGCGAGTCGCGGCTTTGGGTACACGACGACGAGTGGCCCGCGGCCCGATCCAGCGCCCCACTACGACGAGCTCGAGTTTACGAAAACGTAACAAGCGAGCAGCAAGGCCACAGCGATTTGAAAAGCCACGAACCAGGAGATTTTGGGGCGCTTTTTAAAGCGTTTGGCATTTTGCGGTCGCTTGCTCGATTGCCTGCAATTGGCTGCTGCGGCGGCGGCGACGCTGCGTCTCCTGGGGCTGCCGGGGCCTCTGGCCAGGGACTTTTTCGGGCTCGAGCGCGTCCAGCTGGCGGCGGCTTTGGTCTCGGCCGGGGGCTGCTCGTCGTCGTCGTTGTCGTTACCGTCGTTACCGTCGGCGTCGTCGTCGTTCTCGTCCGAGCCGGCCAAGTCGCTCAGCAGCGTGTAGCGAGTCGAGGCGGCGAGACTGGGCGGCGGCGCGTTGCACGCTCGCGCGGGCCAACTTTTCAGGCGCACTTTGCGCACCAAGCTGAACTCCTCGGCGACGCTGCCTCGACTCTTGGCTTTTACTTTACTATAATTACCGGCCTCTAATTGTGTAGTATTCTCATGATTACCTGATGCCACCTCCCAACCCTCGTTGGACTGCTGCTGCGTCTTGGTGGCCCCGGCCGTGCTGGGATGCAGCGGCGCAGCTTCGTCCGCGTCAACGTCGTTGGCTCCTTCCCCCTGGCCAGCTTCAACTTTCGTCGGGCTGCTCTCACCGTCCCTGCAAAATCATAATCGTTTTCAATAAATTTATATCCATATTATACGTGCATACGAACATTACTGCGTCGGGAAAATGGCCCGAAGCGCAGTCTTATCGTAATGGCTCCGCGTAGAGCGCAATAACTAATTAATAACAAGGTCAGGAGGTTTTTTGCAGGTTCTTTTACTGCGCCCGTTAGTCCTATTGGCAGTTATATACAGGCCATTAGCATCGGTGTCGAATGCTCGTTGCTCGGGACTATAGAGCCGCGTACGGTCGGGGCGTTACATACATTACAATTAAATCGGCGAGTCATTAACAAGTGAAATGGTCGCGTCGGCTCGCGTACTCGATATTGGCAGCTGCAAGAAGACACGCGGCCAAGACGCGCGAAGCGTCCCTCGTATCGGTCGAGCCGATGCACTCGACGACGATGCACACGCAGCCTCGCACATATATGCGCACTCGAAATGCCGAGCGTGGCTTATCTGCGGCGCGAGCTATCGTCATTGCTACATATGATAATTAGGCCCGCGCAGAGAATATAAAATGGAAATGAAGAATGAGCTTGGTCGGAGAGTGCTGATAAGAGCCTCGGCGAGCATCGCCATCATACGTATAAATATACATACAGCTGCAGTATAGGCCGTACACGGCCAATACTTATATTACGGTTAGAGAGCCGTTTAGCAACGGGCGCGTTAGGCGCATATTTATACAGTTTTCTATATCTTCGGGGGGAAAAAAGCCTCGCTCGACTATCTTTTTCCGCGGCGCATTGCCGTTACACGGGCGCGCGATCGCCAGCCAACCTTATTCCAATATACGGCAATTATCGCGGCTAAATGCGCCTTAACGCGATTGCTCCAGCCACTATATATTTATACGTGCGGTATAGTGCCCATATAGCCAATAGGTGCAACATACGCGCATAGGGGCTGCCCATCTAATACATAGTTCCTCTACAGCGTGTATACGCGAGTGCAGTCCGTAAAGCTGATTGTGATTTTCCGAGAGTAAAATAATTACCCCGTGGAGCAAGGTCGAGCCCGAGCCCGACGAGGAGAAAATTCGATACATCGAGCGAGTCGAGGAAAATCCGTCGACACCGCGAGACTTATTTATATAATGTAGCAGCTACACAAATACGAGTTAAGCTGCTAATCACGCAATAGTACAGTTGCCGATCGCCTATTAAATAGCTTGAAATTAGAGTTGAACGCGCTGAAAGAGATGCCTGCGAACGAGCCGAGCAGAGCATCGTTCGAGAGATAGTCGAGAAGGCGAGAAGAAAAAAAGGCCCCGCGCCCGCGAGGTGCTACATTACATTGGCGTGCGCCGGCCTGCACGTATACGCTATCGCTGCTCGATCGATTTTCATCGCCGCGGCCCAGCCAACAGGTGGCTCAAAATGTAACGAGAGCAAAGAATGCCAGACGCGATCTCCAAGTACGTGCATGTGCCTCGAGCGCCTATATAGCCCCCCAGTAGCCGTATATATAAATTATATGCACGTCGAGGTTCGTTGCGGCGCGCGGGCGATCGGCAAAAAAAAAAGGCGCGAAAATCCGCTAATCTGCAGCGGGTCCCGTCGATGCGAAATAAGCTCGAAAGCCTCCCCACGTAGCGCACACATAGCAGTGCAGCAGAGCGGCGCGCACAAGACTACGATTGCCTATATAAAATTAAACACCGGTTTTACTCGCGCGATCGTGTCGGTGCTCCGGCCCGAACGACGCAATTTCGCAGTGCCACGAGCGAGAAAAGGCACATCGCTACGCGGCATGGGTTGCCGAGAGCTAGCAGCCGATCGTTATCGAGACTCGGGTCATTTTTATACAGGGGTTAGTCGAGCCGAGCCGAGCCTTAACCGTGGTCGACTCCCAACGGCGCGCGAACGCGAACGCAAAGTCACCCGCGTGTGTGTGTGTAGCTACATGCGTGCGAGCTCCCAAGCTCATAACTTAGATAAATTTCAACTTTGACTAATGTGCAAAGCGTATAAAATTGTGCGCGCACGCGTATCGCAGACACGCGTGTATACGGTAGGAAACGCAACGCAGTATAGTACAAGTAAAAAGGACTCGAAAGAGAGGCTCGATCCGAGAGAGAGAGAGAAAAGAGAGAAGAGCGCGATAATCGAGCCAAGCTAATGAAGTATGAAAAGTTTTGCTGCTGCACTGCATCTTGCCTTTTGTATAATAATATCTACTACTGCTGTATAGCAGCGGTGAATCCGCACGTGCGAGAGACGGCTCGTATCAGGCGCGAGTGCGTCGACGAGGCAGCCGAGCTCGTAGTAGCAGTAGCAGAGAAAAAAAAGACCATATAAGCGAGGGATCGTACACGCGTCTGCGGCTGTTTCATAAAGGATCGTTCGGATCGGTATGAAACGGTGCAGGCTCGCTGCGCGATATCATCCAAAGAAGCTGCCTACGAATTCTCGGTTCATCCTTCAATTAGGCCAGACGCGTTCTAAGCCGTGCACTGGCACGTACGAAGCATATACGTATCTCGGGGGGAAAATCTCGTCGTTCGTTTTCGTCGAGTTTTGTTGGCGTGCGGCGTATACGGATATATCCGCGCGGCGGCGGCGACCACACCCACCCCGCGTACGCGCGCCACGGCTCCTGCGTTATAATAGCGGTACTCGTAACGAGGCGTACGCCGTGTATATGAGAAGGCGGAGCCGCCAACACCAGCCGCAACTCGCGCACAACAGCCGAGCAGCAGCAGCAGCAGCTCAACGATCAGCAAGAGCAAAGAGAAAAAGCTCACCTGCACGCGCACCACAGGCAGCAGCCACCGCAACGGAGCAGCTTCGTTATACGGAGCAAAGTGCATTCTTCGATTATCTCGCGATCTCGATTATCGGCCGCTAGCCTCGACTGCAGCCGAGCCGCTGCTGCTGCTGCTGCTGTATAGCCGTCATTAGTCGCGCGGCCGACCGATTGCAGTGGATGCATGATGCAGAAATGAGCTAGTGTAGCGAGTGCTGCTCGTGCTGCTGCTCCTCTGACGCGCGCGCACCCCGATCGGAGGAACTCGACAGTCGGCCGCGCGAAAGCTCCGCAATCATTGGACGGACGGGAGAAATGCGTCTGCTGCCGAGACTTTTCAGCCGAGTCACGCCGACTTCTTACCGATCTTAATGAAAAACCGTGACGCGACGTGTGTCTGTGTGTTTGTGCGCATGTATGTAGAACGACCAGACGAGATGGACCGATTGCGAGGCTACTCTGCGGCGCGAGCCTCGAGACGCTCCGATACACCTACATCGCAGCTACCTATATATAAATGCACGACGCCGATTATCATCGGTGCAGTTACCCAAAGGACTAAAGGAGGCGAGTTGTACGCTCGCGGTTGGGCCGCGCGTGCGCCCAACTTCCAACTGCACTGCGCCTGGCTTCGATCAACAGCAGCAGCAGTTTTTTCTCTCTCTCTCTTTTCTCGATATTATCACTTGATGAGCCTTTTGTTTCACCTATTGTTATGCAAGAGCAACCAGAGAGCCAGACAGCGAGGGACGAGGGTGGCCAGAACAGGACTAGAGAAGTGCCGATTTTTATCTGCTCGAGCCGATTTACGCCGGTTAATATTATTACGCTCCCTGCGTGGCCGTATACGAGCTCGAAATTACGGATTTCTGCCAGAGGGAAAAATATTCGCTTCGCTCTAACAGCGTCGGCTCGTTTGTACTCGGGCGCTGAACTTTCGATATCGAAAAGAGCAAGCCTAGCCAAACATTTTTGACCCGACAAAGTTTACTCTTCGTCTCGTACTGCGAACACAAAGTAGCGACAAAGTTGTTGTCTACGACGGATTTCCATATAGCAAGGCACAATCGGTCGGCGAACGCGCATGAAAATCCATCAGGTCGACACAGAAATGAGTTATGCGTGCGACGGCGAGAATTCGCTACTTTGCGGAAGCCGATCCGCGGGTGCTAATAGTCGCGGCTAATGGCCACGAGGGAAGCTTCATTAAAATGCGCACGGCTCCGCGGATCTCCACTCGGAGCCGGATGGTTGCGCGTTCGGGATTATTTGCGATTTGCAATCGAGTCGAGAGACATAAATCACTATTAGCGCCGATTGCCGCGCACGCTCGAGGCCGGATTATTTAATGCGCTCTTCGTAGCTGCTCCAACTGCCTATCCGCACCTGCGCCCGCTGCTCCGTGTATGCGCCTACTCGTACATGCCATGTGTGTGTACGTGCAGCGCTCGAATTGGAATTTCTGCTCGGTTCGCGCGCGCGCGCACCTTTTAATCGAGCGACTAAAAACCAGTCGATTCTCTCTTTTTGACCTGTAGCTCGAGCTGACGATTTACAGTCCGACTCGTGGACTTTTTATCCGATGCCATACGAGACGCAAAAATGTCCCAAGCCAACCGAGCGAAACGAAAAAACAAAGTCAAATTGAATAGACGCAAAGATGGAGCAAAAAACTGAGGACTCGCGAAATAAGCGATCCAACTGCCGGCACGAGAACAGAGAATTAGTGGTAATACTGAAGAAGGCGATAAAAATTAGCAAAGCGACTTGGACCGATACTCTCCTCCCCGCATAAGGCTCGATTGAGCAATTAATTATGCTTAAGGCGTACGTATAGTACCGCGGATCTGCAATTCCCCAAAGCAACGCATCGTCTCAGAGGACGCCCGATTAACTGTTCGAATCGAGTCTAAAGCTTATTTAATGGGCATAACCTTCGACTATACTCGGCGACGAGCATCCGAAGAAACTCGTGGCTGTCGAACTCGAGCGCCAGCTCGAACGAGTTTCCTGTTATGTGCGTCGACTCGCGAGTCTAATTAAGGCCGATTTTTCCTGAGTCTCGAGCGCTCGGAGGTTCGGTATGCTGCTTTCGGTGAGGACTCGATCATATACTAGATTGCAGCATAGGTTCACCGTACCCGTCAAATAAATTAGATAATTCGTGTCAACTATTTATTTCTTTTTTTGTAAAAATCGTTTCCTATCAATTTCGAGTGCGTCTAGCGCCGGTACAACGTTCGAGGCTCTCCTCGACACTGTCCCAGCAGCGTCTTCCTCGGGCCAAATCCAGCAGCTCTCGGGCCAGTCGTAGTTGAGCGCTCTTAATTGCTCAAGAGCCGGTCAGCTTTTATCGTGGCTCGCGCGCTGCACCGACTCCCATTTATATCTCGTTATTCTTTTCGAGGTCTTTTTGGCCTCGAAGCCGTGCTCGAGCGCAGCGTCTCGTTTTTTTTCCGAATGCTAATTGACTCGTGTCGTTGCTGCACGAGCGCGACCACAACCCCACGACTATCGCGCCCGAAGCGGCATCGTGAGCATGAGCAGCCGCGAGAGGCGCAATAAATAAGCGTCATTTTGACAACGATACGATCCGAGCCGACGCCAACTCGACTCGTCCACCGAGCACTGCTTAGCTATTTGCATTTGTCAATTATGTGCGCTCGTTAGCTCGATAAGCTTGCAATTAATAATAATGAATCGTTTATCCTTAATCAATTGCTAAGTAAAGCTTTAAGTTATCTGAGCTGTTGGACTTGTGTGCAAGTACTCGTACGAGCGTCAAAAGCTTCTGTTTCGAGGAAAAGCGAAACGCCAGGGGCTAGATTTCTGTGTAGTAATTTTTCCTGGGCAATTAATCAACGCCACAAAAACATTAAACGTGCCAGCCATGATGGATGATGTCGAATGCAATATAGCTTCATTCACTTGTCGCGCTTGCGATGATTCTAAATGTTTATCCGAGTGCAATGAGTACGTCATGAAATTGAATGAAACATTAGTTACTCACGAATTGTCAAGTAAAACAAATATATATTTTCAGTCACATTTTTACAACACATTCGTTCTCTGTTCTTAAACATAAGAAATTCTACATGCATTCGTATTTTTATACGTTGATTCGCGCCGCATTTTTTTCATCACACATTTACATGATAAAATCAGCACTGACTGTTTACTTTTTGATTAAAGTAAATATATTAAATTTCAGATTTTTATAAAAACAAAATCCATAGCAACAAATTTACTTCTTTGTTGGAGTGTCCAAGATCTAATTCTTATTTACTTTATCAACGTGGTTTCGCTTCGGTTTTCAATGTGTTCATAAATCTTACAGTAAAAAATTAAAACTTATACGATATTACAAAAGACTTGAGCAAGAAGATTATTCTTTCTTGTCCAAATCGGTTGGTATGTAATGACTAAATCTCTATTTAAAGCTCTTCTTACGGTTGAATAATTTTTTCCTTATATTCTTATTGGCAAGCCGTAACGATTTGGAAAATCGTTTCTTGGTACTCTCACGAGAGTATAAACTTTATTTCTATCAAAAAATAAGTAATTTAGAGTTAAAATTTTTTCAACAAAACACTTTTATGAAAATCCTTTAATAAACTTATTTTAACGTAATCTTCCCACGAAATTTTGAATTGAGTAAAAAAATGTTTATCTGATTGATTTAATGTCTTTTTTGACATAGAACTTTAGCTAGTACTAAAAACCTGACATCCGAAAAACTTTTTCTTATTATTTCTACTACTTCTTGATAATTAACACTTATACGATCATGCATTAATAATTTGCGATTATTGTCATTTATAAAAAAAAAAGATTTATTAACTTTTCATAACAAACAATCAATCAAATTCCAACTTAAAATATTCATTATTGAAACTATAAAAATTGTTTTTAAAACATTTGTTACTTCAAAAGTTCAAAAATCAAACTGATTGTATTAAAAACCGTTACGTAAAAAAATAGACTGCTATTAGCCAAGAACATTCAAAACTAATTGAATCTAATGCAAGGTAAACATTTGCATTGAACAAACATACTAACGTTATTACATGTGATTAATTAAAGTCAGTAAACCTTATTGACTATAGCTGAATTAAAGTTTTTCTGATGTCAAGTAAGGACTCGAGCTTTTTTTTACATAACTCTACAATAAGTTCCTGCAGATCCATCGTGGCTGCCAGTCTCTGTTCTGAGTATTGAAAAATATTCATGTTGTGTCTTTCATGAATTATCCATTCATTTCAAAACAAAAAATGAAAACGCAATAAAGAAGGACAATAAAACAATTCAACTTATCTAATAATAGTCGAATTACTTAAGATTTACGTATAATTAACTAGCTCGTATTTAGCACTAGCTTAGCATGCATTATCGTGCAAATAAATTTTATTACTCACTCTGATATTTTCCGTTTTCTATCTAATTTTGGTTGTGAGTTTTCACTTTCAACACTTGCCTGATGATCCTTATAACGTTTGAGGCTGAATAATTTTGAAGATCCTTTAAGCAAATTTTTCACTACAGCACTAACTTGATCTTTCTTGTGTAATGCGGCATAAGCGGTAGTATCTGTTAACCATGCTACATATGCACCACCTGCATTTAATGTTTTAATATGAGTATAACATTATTCAAAACAAATTTAATGCTTAAAGAAAACAGTAGAAAATATATTTGATTGAATCATACCATATGGATTGAACAATTGGGTTAAATCATTTATTCTCCATTGTTTTGGAAATGTGACATGAAAAATGTGGTCTCTGCATGGATTAGCTATAATAAATATGAATCAATTATTTATAATTTTTTATAATTTTGTTATTAAAATAGTTTAATTAACTTACGATCGTTTCCAACTAAGTTGATGTGAGGGTAATCTTTCAATTTTGCTATGCACAATCTGAGGATGAAAAAATACAAATAAAAGATTATAGTTGACTGTTTAAGAAACAACTTATATGTTTTTTTCAAAAGAAAAAAAAATATATATTATACATAAAAATATATTTACTTGTTTAAGTATGGAGCTAAAAGCCGGGAATCAGCGAGTACTGGTCGTACTTCTGGCGTTTGAAGAGCACCTGTTTATAAATTTTTTCAGTATTATTGATTGATTTCAAACATTAATTTACATTGTTGAAAAAGTAAACTCACCTAGCCTGTTGGATAAGGCAATAAAACATAGACCAGTCATATAAGCATCATAACCAGCTTCATGTGATTTATCTTCTTTTAATGAATAACTTCTATCTTCAATATCTTCTGTGGTAGGTAAAGAGTATGGTGAACATTGAAGAGCTTCAAATAATTGGTTGAGAATCGAAGGAACTGATTGATTAAATTGAGCTGATTGACTTATAATTTTTGTATCTATGAGCCTGCAATTGAAAATAATATTTTAATTATGTCCTTCATGTTTTCAAATTATTACACTAATTTCAATACTAACTTGGGAAAAAGACCATGAACTAGAGATTTAAACTCGGTATAACTCTCTGGTAAAGGACCAAAAAATTGATTGATAATGTGACATAAATCAAGCAACATGTTGTGTCCTACAATAAGTTTACCCTGAAAAAAAAAATGAAAAACATTTTAAAACTGTTATAATATATACGTAACTTTAACTACTCTTTACAAAAGAAAAACTCATACCGAATCTGCAATTTTTTGTAACAGTGCACTAAGTCCAACTGCTTGTTGAATATCTTGCTTTTCTTTTTCACGTCTTTCCTTTTCCCTCTGTGCTTCTTCTTCTTTATTACCTGTCTTATAGGCAATAACCACACAATTACCATTTTCAATTTTATTTTCCAACCTAATTTTATCTGGCCACCTCAATTGTACTTCTTGGTGTATCAGTCTTCTAATAAATGCATTATACCTATCTAAAACGTAAGATTCATCTTCAGACTTAACAAAGTCCTCTAATCTAGAACTTTAACATTAGTATGTTTATAAGTAATTATTTGTGTGTGAAAGAAAATTCTATAGAGTAAATAGTTTACCAAATTTCTTCCATCTGTGCTTTATCATTTTCAGGTATAGGAATAATATCATAATTTCCATTGTCTCTCAACTTATGTCTGTCTTCAATTTTTTTTTGCAATTTTTCTTCTCCAGCTTTAGTTAAGTAAGGTATTCCAGATTTAAAGAGTTTGTTAAAGTCAAAGCCTTGGCTGACTAAAAAAGCTATTGAAGAAGCTTGGCACATAAACCGACAATCAGTTGATGACCGATCAAATGGTTTTGGAAATACATAAAAGTTGTAAGACCGCTGACTATACCTGTAAAATGTAGTGAGATAAATAATTAATTAGTTTTAATTCCTTTTTTTTATCATTATTGAATCTCATAATTAGTAAAAATCAAATAACATAAATTACATACTTGTTATCCCATTTGTCATGAGTAAAAACGGATAAACCAAATTGAACAAGTAAGAAATTCATAGATCCGGTCCTTAGTTTTTGATAATACTGAGCTGGAGTGTCAAAAGCAGTAGCTTCTGGACCTGAATTTAACCCAGTAAATTCACCATCAATTGCCAGAAAAGAAGCATTTTTCAATACTTCATCCAGCTCTGTCAGCACTTCCTGAAAATCTGAGACAGTAAAAGGTTACTCAAACAAATAATTCATAATTCAAAATTTTGAGAAAATGTTGAATGTTTCTAAAGAAATTTTGGATTTCAATAATTACAAAAAACAAGATGTGTGAATCAAAAAATATTAATAATTGAGTTTTATAATTACAATTGACATTTAAATGAATCAAAAGTAAATAGAAAATATGAATGAATGTAACCTCTCAAGTTTGTTTAATAACAGATCCCTCATTGGGTTTGATTTAAATGAATGTTCAAGTAACTTGTATTTTTCAAAGGAATATCAAGAAAGAGAGAAAATAAGTAATCAGAAGAGGAAAAAAACAAAAAAAAATTGAAAAATGAATGCAACAGTAGATGAAAAAGTTAAATAACTTACTTTCTCTAGTCACCTCCATGGTCGTCAACAAAGAACATTAACGAAGAAGACAGAAGTACAGAAGAGATTCAATTTATTGACATAAGATGACGATAATCGTTGGATCGATGGCGCAATCGTACGCGCAATTTAAATCAGCAATGTTGACTATCCGAACGGGCTAATGATATGTGTTTGTGTGTGTGTATATAACGGACTACGCTGACGAGCCGTTATATTTTGGAGCACGCGGCCGCAGACCAAGTCAAGGTTCGAACCAGCCGATATAGCTCCAGACTCTCCGTGTTTTGGCCCCTCGTTCTTATTATTTTTTATGTGATGTAAACGATGCGATGGCTTCGATGCGAATCCGCAAATTCTAAATGCAAACGTTATTACCTATATATACACTTTCGATAGGTAGTCGTACGATCACGTTGTAATAAATGCTAGGTGCTCATTGCTATAATGTCCTATAGCAACCTTAGTTCGTGAATTCGGCAGCAGCGGCGGCAGATCGTTGAATCGTCGGGATAGAAGAAACGGTTATGTGCCGAGCTATACGCAGATTATAGTTTTCTCTGCATGATAAGGTGTATACCATGTGCGCAATGTGTTACAGCGGAGAAGCAGCGTATAACAGTCGTCTCGAGCTTCAAAAATATTACAGGCACTCGGCTCGAGTCATGTACAAGTCACGCGCACCATCACAATTCTTTAATTCACAATTATCACGAGGCTCAAGTGCATCTGCAAACGCTTCTTTTCGCTGATTATTCGGCCCACCGGTTCGTGTATACATACCCGTGTAATTATGAATCACAGTCTTCGCTTGAACGGACCGATTCATCGATGTGTACGTTTGTATTGCGCGACGATTGAACAATGACAGCTCGACAGCGCCGGCCCGTGCGAATACAAACTCTGTAGCCTCGCCGTCCGAAAATCTATACTCGGTTGATGTTTCTCCGAAATTGGATTCCCAGTCCTTGTACCGATGCCGATTCTGAAATCATAACGTCGGCGCACCTCATACAAAATGATTCGTTTGCTTTTTCCCACTTACAATACGTATTGTGTTGAAAAGCAAATTAATCATTTTAAATTGGCACAGTTGCTTTTTCGCAATTCAATTTAACTGAAACGGAAAACATTTTCGAATAATGAAATATTCCGACGTACGAGCGAATAAACAATCATGATAGCTGCTGCTAATCTTATTGAAAATTAAAATTGATACTTCGTGGTTTTCTTCATTTATTGTAAAATATTTGAAATAATTCTCAAAAATATTTAGGAAATTCTAGAAAAATAATTCAGAACCCCGATATATTTATGTTAATTTCGCTGTACTTAAAAATACTAATATTGAAATTATTTACATGATTTTTCTACAAACAAAAAATTATTTACATTTTTTTTAAAATGGTTCGAAATTTTGAAAATCGCGCCTTATTTTATCCTGCAAACTTGGCCTTCACCCTAGCAATTAATACAAAAATATCCCTAGATGAAGCGTGTAATAGCGTCCGACTCCGTGTTTGACATTTCCCATGCTCTGTGCGTACGAGAGTAATGTGTGTATGAAATGCAACTGCAGCCTGCAGCAGCTTGTGCCTTGTAGGTGTTCACTGTTCAGCCATCGTTGGTGCCTCAGTACACACTGAGCTTATAGCCAATTTACGTCGCGTTTCGAGCATGTCTGCGTCATTCTTATCGTCCGATTATAGTTGAAGGAAAAAAAGAGCAGTCAGCTAACCAAACAGCTCTGCGAAACTGCAACGACTCGAGTGCGCGTGTGTATATGTGTGTATGTGCTCCAGCAAACTCCATTATACAGATGTAACAGCTCCACTTTCAATAATTTTTTTTTTATCAACTTCTTCTCAGCACGTTTGTCGACAACATCCGCTTCGAGTGAAACGACGTCTTTGATGAGAATCGACGAGCGACAGCTGAAAAACAATGAACCAACAGCGATCCTTTGTGGCTGCGTCATTTGCTGCATTTCTTATCTGCCAAGGTACCTGCGAATTTCCTCTACGCTAACTACATTCACGAAATACGCCTCTTTTCTTTGTTCTTTAACTTAAGCTCAAAATCTATATTTAATTACTCATCATTGTTATACTATGAATTATGACTTTTAAAATTATAACCAACATATTGCTTTAGTTGTGTCAGCTGAAGGATATGTCAAACTTACACACGATGGCCCTGTCACACTTGGTGGCACTATCACTTTTAAGGCTGAGTTAGTAAATAGAAGAGGAGAACCTCCATCAGGCTCTTTCAGGTACACTTGGAAAGATGATGCTCTTATTCAACATTTTTATCAGGTATGGATCTGGTTTCAATTAAATTATAATGGTATTTAATACAATCCAGTTGTAATACTTGTACATATATTTATCTGAAATATTTTATTTTCTGATTATAGACTGATAAAACAGAAAATACAACCAGTTATTTTAGTGTAAGTTACCAATCTCCTGAATATCATGTGGGCTCTTATAAAATGGAAGTATATGTATGTAAATTTCAATACTTGGGTTTGTATTGTGAAGAATATACTAGTAGAAGAGTGCAGTTTGATGTGACTCGTAAGTATAAAATAGTTCACTCATTTTCAAATTTCATATGAGTTATACACAACTTTTTGTTTCTTCAGGTTTATTAAACGGCGAAGTTGCAATTGAACAGTATAACAAAACTTTAACTAATGAGTTTGTATCGTCAAGTGAAGAAGCCAAATTAATATTAGATCTACACAAAGGAGATTACGAGTATATCACTAAAGCAGCTACTTCCATCTCTACCTATTGGTTTATAGATTGTCACAGAGTCAATTCATCCAACAACTTTAGATTGGATTATAATTTCACTAAAGCTGATACTTTTCACACTATTCAAGCTCTTGTGGAAGCTTCTTTTGATCCTCCTACTACAACTGCAGCTCCGACAAATATAACAACAACACCAACACCAATGACAGATAATTCAACTAAACCAGTTACTCAACAAACAAATTCCTCTGTAAATGTTACTACCATTCCTTCTACAACAACAACTACACCATTACCATCAACCACAACCATTGCAACTGCTACAATTTCTTCTGGAAACAATACAAATAATACAGTGCCTCTATTGGGAAATCTAACTCACCCTTTTGTATGTGGTTCTAATATTAATCCAGAAGCAAATAAAACTTATGGCTATTTTCAAAAACAAATCAAAACTAGAGGTAGATAAATTTTATTGATAATATTTGCTATATCATGAATACATAAATTTTATTTAACATAAAAAAATGTTTTTAGCTCCAATTTCAAATTTAAAAACAGAAGGTGTGATTTATATCAAGCCATGGGATTTACTTTCCCTTGCTGTTTCTTGCAATGGAAGTGGACCTTTTCAAAAGTGTGTGAAAATAATTGTTGGACAATACAATGTCACAGGAAATGAAACTTGTAAAGACCCAGAAGTTTTGAAGTCATGTGAATTCTCTATATCCCATTATTTTCTTGATGCTCAAGAATATACAGTGCTCATAATAGTATCTAATGAAGTCAGTACAAGAATTCATCCTGTTGCTGTCAACATTTCTCCTGGTAAATCAAATTTATTAAATTTATTTTCAAAATAATTATGAATTGAATTTTAATTTTATTCTCTATTTTCTTCCAGTAAAACCTACTGCACAATTATCAGTAATTGTAGTGCCAGTGTCGTGTTCATTGGTAGCCATTGTTGTTATAGTTTTTGGAATTGCCTACTATGTACAGAGCAAATCCCGCTACACCGTTGAAGTAGCCGATTTTGATTTTGCTCAGAGTACTACAGACATGGAATACAAAACGTTTACCGAACGACTTCGTGATTCTTTCAATAACGCAGTAAGACCAGGAACTAGATTGTTTCGAAGTAGAACTCCAAATTATGGAAGCATGAATACTAAATACTAACTGAAAAATTGACACTCAAATAGGAATGTAATGCACGCGAATATTTATTTTGCTTTTTGTTATTTGTTATTGTGTAGCATGTATGAATATACAATTTTTTAGCTTTATTGCAACAATAATCCCACTTAATAGCCTAAAAGGAAACGGATTTCACAGCTTATTTCCTATATTTTTGCTTGCTTGCTTTTTGTACCCGTTCATGTTACTGTCATTTCTGTAGCTTTTGTAAGTTTTATTATATTTCTGAAGCCTAATAACAATATTTTACTTTTCAGGGCTACACACAACTCAATAATTCTCGAGAGGGCCAATGACACAGTGCACAATTTAAAACAGAAATTTGAAAATGAAGGAGTTAAATGAAAGTAACAAAACTGAGACAATGATGAAATTTCACAATGTTGAAGCTGTTTACTTAGATACATATTTTGAATGTCAAAGCTGCTACAGTATTTCACTATAAGTAAAATAATGTTAACAAAAAAAGAAAAAATATATGCATGAAACAAAGCCCGTGTACATAACAAGAATGAAAAATACTAGAAAGTGAAAAAATATGAATGATGTTACTTGAAAAGGCTGTGAGTGCAATGACTATAAGAGCCAACAAATATTTTGGTTGAGAAAAAGAGTGTATGAATTATACCCAACATGTACGTTATGTCAAATGGTTTAACGACTGCTTGTGTGTTTTACACGATATTTTGAAAAAAAAAAAAATTTACAAAATAATCTTTTATTTTAATTTTTAATACAATTTTAACGATAAGACAAGCCAATTTTACGAAACAAAATTGTTTAATTTAGTCATAATTTTAATGAAATTGTAAATTATAAATTGCGTTAATTACAGTGTTATAAGATTTTTTGTTATTTCATAAATTTAATTTACACATATGATTTGTACATAGATAAAATATATATTTACATAAAATATTTTTCTCGCTACTTGGACGCAGGCTAATTTGCGAATGGCCTTTTATTACATGATTTTGTATATAATTTGTTTAAATAAATTTTCGTAAACGAAAAGTGCAGAGAAACGGCTTATTTCGAGATGAACTTGACAATTGCGCGTCATCAGCATAGTTCATGATTATCCGCATGATTGCTCCGTACTCCTTCTTGCCTTGCCAATGATTCGATTATCGTCGTTGCTTTTGAGCTCTGGAAATGAGAAAAATCGCGTACAAGTTGATGATTTCAAGGAAACGGTAATTGCAGCTAATGACCAAAGTGAAATGGCAATAATATGTAAGCAATGATTTTCGATTAGCTCATCGGCTAATAACAAGGATACAGCTAATAGGCGTGACGAGTGTAGGAAAAAGAGAAACGAGACGGTGTAGAAATGCGCGTACGAGTCCCACAATAGAGAAAACTCGATTGTGTATTTGACGAGCGTACATCGACGTGTGTTTACACAAACGGAAAAATACATAGTCTCCCGCATGTAGGCCTGTAGAATCGAAGCTACCTGCAGTGCATACAGTGCGTCCGATCGAACCCAATCCGTGTCCAATGTTCGCGAGTTCCCACGCTCGCATGTGTCGCGCACACCTGCCCTCATGCGTCCATAGAGCAACAACAACGCAGCAGAGCCGAGAGCACTAGCAACAGCAGCCGAGGTAAGCGTGGAGTGGGGGGCAGGTGTCGAAACTCCTCCAGCGCGAATACAGCGAGGGACTCGCGCGAGTGCCGTACTATAGTATAGCAGAGTCTGTCTCGTTCGCTCTCGTGCTTATTCGCGTGCATCGCAGCAGCAGATCTCGCGTGCGGCGCTGCTGCCGCGAACTCGAGCGTGTGTGTGTTGTTTGAGAGCAGCAGCAGTTCCTCGCCGTCCGAGCGTCGAAGCGCACGTACACGCGCCCGTTCTCAACATCGCGTACCATAACAATACAAGTACGTAAGAGTGTAGAAACTGCGAGCCCGTTTTCTTGGATTACTCATCCTGCGGGTGTGCGTGGTAACGCGTGCCGAAGGTGCCGCATACAGTTGAGTGACAGTGTGTGTGACGTGTGTTTGTGTACATAGATTATTATTAAAAACAACTTAACCTCGTCCAAGCCCGGACGGAGATGTGGGTGCAGCTTTTTTCGAGTTAAAAATTCCATGAGTAAGTGTACGTATAGAAGGAGTGCGAGTGCGCGTGTCAAAAGTGAATCGTGCCAGTTGTTATCGGCCGACCGACAGCAGCAATCGATTCATGTTTACGCATAGAGGAAGTGAGCGCGCGTAATAATACATGCGTGGGTGTAGTGCAGCAGGGCACTCGATAATCGACAAGAGCAGCAGCAGCAGCGAGACTGGGAGCGAAAGAGAGAGAGAGCGGCGGCAGCGGCGGCGGCAGGTCAAACTGGCTGCTGCTCGAGTTGTCCGAGTCTCGAGGAGATTTGCCGCCACCGCAGTTGTCTCCTGCTCTACCTGACTGCCCTGTGTGTCTGTGCGTGTACGCGTACCTGCATATCGGCTCGCGCGGATCGCGCCGACTTATACTTACACAGGAGCCGAGAGCACGAGTGCGATTGACCGATTATACCGCTAGGCTGGCCTGAATCCAGAGCGCCAACGAGCGAGCCAACGCAGAGCCAATAGCTCTCTCTCGCTTTTGCAGACTGCGAGTACTACTACTGCTACTGGCTGCAAGCGAGTTGTTCTCTCTCTCTCTCTCGAGTGCGTTCATCTATCCGAGCGATTCTTTGACCTCGAGAGAGCCTGCGCTGTCACCGTAGCGGGAATCCGAGGAAAATAGCTGCTGCATCTCAACGGTAGGTACGCACTGCACTTGAATTACGATCCGCGCGATATTTGCACATGTGTCGATGAATGAAGAGCATAATGCACGCAGCAGCCGTAGCACTTGCATCGCAAGAGCAGAGAATATACATCCTAGCGCTGCTGCACGCTCGGCTCGGCTCTCTCTCTCTCTCTCTCTCTCTCTCTGTTTTGTTTCGTGGGAAGGGCCTCTCTTGTACATAGAGAGAACGAGTAAGGATATACCTACGTACTAGCTCTGTAGCTTCGAGCATGCTATACACATGCACGAGAGCTGCTTTATATAGGTGCACGTAGGTGCGCATCCGAGCTAGCGTGCAGGTAGACGACGACGACCAAACAAAAACCATAACAATAACAACGACGACGACGACGACAAAAAAGGGGGGTGCCATGTTTACCCGATCCCTCTCACTATTATGCACCTATATAGATATACCGCAGTCCTCGCGCTATACACAAGGTAGTTGCTGCTGCTGCTGCTCCCCCCCAAACATTGTCACGCATAGTCCACATAACGCGTGCATTATTTACGCGCACTCTGCACCGTGGCAGCAGTCAGCAGTTTACCCGTAACTGTATCGTGAGTATACGCGAGCTGCGAATAAAAAGAGAGCAGAGAAAGACCGATGCTGCAGCGCGTTGGACCACTTGTAACTATACCGTTGTCTTATTACGTCCCGATTAACAAAAAAAGAAAAGCCGATCGAATCTGCTGTCATTTTTATGTATAGCCGATGCGACCTCGTCGGCCGTGATTTCTCGAATGCGATCGTTGCTGCCTTTTCGCAACGACTTTTATTACGTGCAGCTTCGATAGGTATACATATACCCTGCCTCGAAGCATAAAGAGTATAACAACATATGCATACACAATATTGGGCTACCTATACTATACGTTCTTACGCTGTCGCGCTGAACGTATACGTCTGTATTTACGCACAAGTAAGAAGTGGCCACGAGTAACCTAATACGTAACTCATAACGCACATTACACGCGCGTAGCTCTGCTCGAAAAAGAAGAAGACCAAGAAGAAGAAGAAACGCAAAAAAAGAAGCTGAAAAAAGAAAGAAGTAGGCCAGGCGCGCGTAATACATATTATATTATATATAGGTACGGTACGGTACTGTATCTCGAGCACGTATATAGCCGTATCAGTTGTTGCGGCTCAGTTTTGTCATCGCCACACCGAAACCCCGAAGAACAATAGGATTCTCTGGGTATTATAAGACAGACATCTAGAAGCTCCTCTCGACGCGGTGTCGAATGTGTCGTCGCCAAAAACCCACCGCCGACTTACATGATAGACAAAAGAAGATGTGGCTGATGCTGCTCCGCTTTGTCCGCGACTCGTGACCGTGGAAAATAATAATCTTTGAAAAACGAGGCTATTTTGGTAGCGCGCGAATCGACGCGCGATCTGCCAGTATATAGTGCAGCGCTCGGTTTCACTCTGCGATTGCGATTGTCTGACAGCCGCGCGCGCAGTGACAACTGACAGCTGCGCTGCACGTGCTATGCAGGAAATACATCTATCCACCTACACACTCTCGCGCATATATTCACTCATCGTAGAAAATCGAGAGCTCGCGCGAGCATAGTTTAATGCTCCGTTTTGTCTCTCGTATACGTATATATGCCTATATGTATCGGGAGGCTTTCTCACGCTCGCTTTCGAAGCTATGACTCTCCTTCTTGAGGAGTCGAGCCGTCCGAGTAGCCGAGCTTCTTTACTTTTGCTCATACATGCGCTAATCAGCATGAAAGGCTCGATTGTTTTCCTGCCTCGACTCATCTCGAGATACATCCATGTACAAACAGCAGCTTCCTTGTACCTACATCTTTATATATATCTTTTACCGAGCGCTATCTCGCAATGTATCCGACTCTTACGAAATTGTAACATCGAGCGAGGCTTACGCAATTACTTCATTTTTTTTCTTTTCTTTTTTTTTTTTTTTTTTTGTCAAGACCGCGAGTCGCTGATGCGGCTTATTTTCGATCTCGGTTCGATGAATTCCATGTAGCATATCTTCGGCTGAGTAATTAGTCGCGCAGAGCTGCCGCGCATGGATACGTATGTTTATTGTGTTTGATACAGGCAGAGAAAACAGCCTATGCCTCTCTCGTAACTCATAGCGGCAGAGAGGACGGACGGCCAATTAGTCGTCGGAGTTTTGATGGAGTCGCTCGAGTACAATGGGTAGCTGCCGCTGCTGCTGCCTATACGTATACATGTGCCTCGCTCGTTATCGACGCGCACGTGCTCTCCGTGACAGCGGCCGCCGACGCATTGGATTGCCGCACACGAGGAGAGCAGTGCACATCGTCGTCGTTAAGAGAATTGCCGTTGCCGTCGTCGACTCGCTTCATTTATCGAGTCTCTCTCTCTCGTCCACATATATATATGTTCATCCATCTATAGCTGCCGAGTAATAGACTAGTCGGCAAGTCGATTGTTCGACGCCATCCGCCAAATAATCGATTTTCAACTTTTACTTTTCCAGTCGAAACTCCAATTCTACATACGTACATAGCGCTCGTATATAGCTATATCTCCATAGTAGCTTGGCCCGATTAGATCGAGTTCGAGGCTTTTTCTTCTGCCTTTTTAATGCGCATTATATTGTATATGGCAGGCGAACGTGAGTTAGATCGTTTACTTTGGCCACGCACGTGCTTACTAATAAACAAAAATATACCAAGATCTATAGGTATATATAGGTACATTATGTTTGGCTCGAGCCGTACTTTGTACATATAGTGAAAGGATGAATCGCTGCCGATGCTGCTGCTGCTACTGCTGTAACGGAGTCTGCAACGAAAATTTTCGAGTTCAAAGTGAAACGCGTTCGTCTGGTTCAATGGGTTACACACATATCCTTCGGAGGCAAATTACAAGAAGGGGCCAAAGGAGAGTAATGAGAGAATCGCGTACGCAACGAGGAGTTCGTATTTACGGTACGTGCGCCGTGTACATATACTACGGTTGCGAGGCCTGCAATAGTAATGCGTACGCATGTACAGCACACATACAACAGGCACGTATAATATGCATCATCGCTTCGTCGTTAATCAACTCGAGCTAGCTGTCCTTGAGCGCATTCCGTCTTATCTCGTACATGCTGCATTATTATTTGCCGCCGTCTTGGCCGCGGAGAAACTATTTGCCTGGTTTTTTCCCTCCGCGCCGCTGCGGATTTCATCTCCGATGCGTTTTCCCGATTCCATTTCCGAGTCGCGTCCAACTTTGCACACGTCGAGTGCTGCGATGCGAGACCTTTTTTTTTTGTTTGTCGAGCTATATACATGTACATTGGAGGTATTGGCTCGCATTGGTACTCGGCGAATCGTAGAAGCAGCAGCAGCAGCGAGCCGACACATAAATCTCACCTCGCAGTCGACGTGTGCTGTGTAGTACAGCAGCGTACGCGTCTTCTCGGTCTAGCTGAGCGCCTCGAGCGACATTAGCGTTCGCCGATCTGAGCATGTGCCGTGTCCGTGCTCGTCTCGCAACATGCATTCGATACTTGCACTCGTGTGTATGGGTGTCGTTACGGGTGACGCCACTGCATACACGACTACTGGCGGCGTCAATGGCAGCAGAGTATAACGAAGTAGCAGCAGCAGAGCCAGGACTATAGTCACAGGAAAGCTTACCTGCGCAAGCGCACGCATCGACCTCTCTTTTAACTCTCACTCTCCTCTCTCCTCCCTCCTCCCTTCTCTCTCTCTCTCTCTCTCTCTGCTGTGTGTCTCTCCGCAGCGAGCGGAAAAGTTCACGAGTGGCCTTTGCCTTTCCATCTTTTTGTTTATGTGTATAAATCTGCCGCTCGTTTTCCACGCTCAATTGCTGCAGTCGTCGAAAATCCGCTCGAGACGTGCCGCTGCGTACACGTCCCATCGGGCTCGATAATCTCGAGTCGCCGCCAACGCCGTGGGCGATTATTCAAGGTCGGCTTGCCTATTTTTAGGCCGTCGATAAGCGTCCCGATCGTTATCCTCGGGCGCGCACCGGGGCCACGGGACGCAAAATTGCTAAACTCCTCTGCTCGTTCGATGCACGAGCGAACAACGCCTAGCCCAGCTGCGAACTCCGTGCAATAGGCTATACGCGCGGTGGTGCACACCCAAGCGATTGTCACTGCTACGTCGGGCTGCTGCTTTTTGCTTTTGTACTAATTGACCTGCATCGGCGTATGCACTATACGTGTTTGTTAAAGGCCTAAGTGTGCCATTGCCGTGCGCCCGATAACTCGCGGGCTACTGGCAAAGAGTCGCCAATTAATACTCAATTGCCGCATGCATTTACTTAATCAACTCGAGCGATCGTATCAACGCGATGTGGACGACGTATCTCTGCTGCGTGACTCTACGTGTCTTATCGATCGGCTCGCGCGCGCTCTAGCTGTTTCCATTCGTCCGCGCGTCCGAACTCGAGACGATTTTTTTCTCACACTCGTTCGTGCATCGTTGCAAACGGTCACGCATGACAGCTATATATGATAGGCGCTACACGTATTACAGGACAAATCTAATGCGTGAGACAAGCAGCGACATCGGAGACGTCGCTCCGTCAAAACATATACACCTACTATGTACGTATGTACTTTAACATGGATGTTGTGTATGACGGAAGCGTCGTGTGTACACGCTAGAGCGCCGATGTCGATCCGGAACGCTACGCACACACACACACACACACACACACATATTCATACTTATTAGATAGGCTGACCTAAGCTAAGCTTAGATCATCTTTTTAATTCCTCGCTTACATATTACTAGCGGCGGGCCGATCGCCTATACGTGCGGACTATATCCGCGCGGATGAAAAGAAGATCAAGAGCGTAACTTATTAGCTCGCGTACATATATAGTTACTCGAGTAATCGTGCAGGCGAGGGAGAATATTCACACGGATGTTGGTAGTGCCTCGACCGTTCACCTGTTGATACATAAATTCTCTGACTCGCGTCGATTCTCAAAGGTATATT